TCTGTATCTAAACACAAATTATTTCATTAATAAGAGACTTTCTGTCTGTTATAAGGTTATAACACAGTAGAAGGAATTTCTCTTCTATTCTAATAAACAGTCTATTCAAACATCTCTATATTTACATCTAACTACATTTTGTCTATTAGCAAAACCTACATATCTAACACACCTCAATATAATACATTTATACATCATACCTACTGTATGAGACATATACAGTTCACCATTGTAATAACACCATATATTTTGTAAGACTGCAATTGACCAGATTAACCAATTCTTAAACAATACACTATCTTATACCTTTCTATAATAACACCTTCATTCAGCAATGTGTTATTTTGGTCTGGCCCTTGTAGATAATAAAGTTGTTTGTTCTTTTTTTTTTCTTTACCCAATTCCAATTCTCCTTCCCCTACTACTCAGTCTCAAATTACAACCGGCCAGTCCACATTTTACAGTATTACAATCCTTTGAAGTCTTTGACCCTATTACATAAGGTCCCTCCCAAGAAACCTCCAGTTTCTTCTTAGATCTTGGTTCTAAAACCAGGACCTTATCTCCCACATCAAAACATCGGAGTCTTGTGTGAAGATCCGCTTGCTCTCTCCGCTTCAGCTGGGCAGTTGACAAACTCTCGGCTGCGCAGTCTCTCATGGTTGTTAAATGTTCTCGTAAGTCCTCGATGTAGCTGTTGATATCACTCTCTGGAATGTCCTCTGCTCCTGTCCATGCTTCCTTCAAAATGTCCATAGGTCCTCTTGGTGTTCTCCCATATAACAGTTCAAATGGGCTGAACTTGGTGCTGGCTTGTGGAACCTCCCGATAAGCAAACAAGAAGTGTTGAAGTTTCTTGTCCCAATCATTAGGGTTCTTGTGGACGTACGCCTTCAGCATGTGGTTGAGGGTACCGTTGAATCTCTCCGTCAAGCCGTTGGTTTGAGGATGGTATGGAGTAGAAGTAAGATGCTTTATCTTGCAGGTCCGGAACAGTTCTTGCATCATCTGCGACATGAATGTAGCTCCAAGATCTGTAATGATAGATCTAGGGAAATCCACGCGTGCGAATATATTGAGCAGCGCGTCTGCCACTGTTTTGGCGTCAGTTTCCTTTAATGGAATTGCCTCTGGGTATCGT